CTCGTTTGCTCAGTCTTTGGAGTGGGGTAGAATGTTTGACGACCACTTCTCAGAAGAGGCTATGAGCGTGATAGAGAAACACTTTTGGGAAGTCCTGTTTATTAGGAATTCCAATTTTTTACAAGCAATAACTGAGTGGAATAAGCAAGGAAGCCTTTCGATGGGAAGCATGACGTCAACAACTTAAAATCGCGGGTGATCACTGATGAACAGACGAATACGGCTGTTGCCTTCTGAATTATTCTGTGGAGACATCTACTTCAAGAAATCCTGGTAACTAAGTATAACGCTTGAAAATGGATCTCTGATTCATCAACGAAATGTTGTTGTCTCGAGTAGTCTGGCAGGCTGGTAAATCACGGAGGGCGGGAATAAGGAATTCACTTAGAATCCGAGTGAAGACTTTATCGTCCAAATTGGTGGATGATAAGACTACTTAGTAATTTCGGTGAAATTCTGGGTAAAAACCTTCGAATAGAAAACTAAGTGATCAGACATCAGATCAACTACAGGGACTAAGCAAAGAATTGATTAATTATTAAGAGTAATCCATAAGGGCATTGATTGAGAGTACAGGGATACTTATGCGTAGAGTCGGAGTAAAGTGTAGTTCCAGCATTGTAAAAACAGTAGGCTGTATGTTTGTTCCCTTAAAATAGCATAAATTTGAGGTGGTGTAGGGTGCACTATGCATGGTCATGGGTTCGAATCCCGGATCGGTATCCGCCTAGGCCAACCAAGCTTTCCATCCCTCCAGGATCGGCTAGTTGCTACCAGACTCGTCCAGGAGGATAAAAGCACTGACTTGTAGATCGGCTGGCCACTGCAATTCATTGTATAGGTCACATACGCATTCAATACGGCACTACGATTCTGAATGAAAGTCGAATGCGTGGGCGTATCCTTCAGACGCGAATAGCGCCCCAAGACTTTATCTTTTATCCTTTATAATCGATCGGCTTGAAAGGGTCTAATAAGTGTGGAGGCATTTGCTGACCGAAGAAGTATTGGTTGATAAACGTCCTCTGTTTCCCGTGTGCTAACCTTTTATGACTGTGTTGATCCTACCGGCTCAACGAGCATCAACTTCCTTGTGGCGTGAATGACGGAGATTTATTGCCGGGTTCGGGCTAGATTTTGTTTGTTCTTCCGCTTCATCGTCAATTTTAGAGCAGAAGGTGTTTACGCCATCGATGTTTGCAACTATTGTTTTCGCAACTTCCTGGAGAATCCTGGTCTTGATGGATAAGGAAGTCGAGGGTCCTTCACATAGCTGGCAGAAGGTCCACTGAGACTAATTGAGACCCACTCAACGTATGCACGTAAATAAGTTGCAAAGATGCAGAAAGCACTGATTTCTGGGTAGTACAAGACTCGGAGGACATGTAGGGGACCTTGAGTAAGGTCTCAGTTAGACTTTTGATGTCATAGAAATCACGATCGATGATATTTTGCTGTTTTATTCGTTGGTCTCTTGGTCTCAGTCCTAGTCTTTACTGCTTATTTTTTTGGAGAGGGACGAAATGTTGCAGCTCTGTTTTGTCAAATACCGAGCTGTTCTTGAGACATTTTAGGTAACTTTTGCAGAGGCGCTAACGATGCCCCTGTAGGAAATAGATAGTTGATAGATCAGTTTCTATTCCTAATCACTTATCCACTGAGTTTGTATTACTACCTATCTCTAGGATCAAATACTGGGTAACTGGAAGTAAAGTCAGGCTCAGAACAGCTTCAGAGGAAAGCGAGTACCCCTTGCATCGCAACCTGTCTACGCTCGAAATAATCTTTGAAGTTACAATAGGCGGCAGGATATTTTATGATCGCAAATTTTCCTTTTCCTAGGTGCTCTCGATCTTTTATGTCGGATCCCTTCGTGGAACGAACCTCTTCCTTTCAACGTTTTGTGCTCAAATTCGAAGCACAAGTTAGACTCGAACTTTTTAGGAGCATAGCAAGAAATGGTTGTTCGGGAACGTTGGCTGCCGCCTATGGTTAACTGCAGACGTCTGGCTGTCGACAGCATCCATCTACAACTTGTTAGCCATCTCGTTCGATCGCTATATGGCCGTTCGGCAACCGATACGATATCCAAGTATTTCTTCAAAACGGTTAGTTACTACTACAATTTATTATGAGCCCTTACGTAACCTCTTTTTGAAAAAGTATAAGTGACAGCACTAACTCCTTTTCATGACACTTGGAAGAGTTATATAAGGTTGGTGTGCACTGACGCCGATCCCTTGCCAAAATTTTATTGCATCTGACAATTTTGGCAGTGGCAATTCAAAGAGCAGTTCAAGTTAAAAATGGTTTCTGAGAACTCTTCATAGGGTGGACGTGTGACCCCAAGGAAGGTGTCGGGTCAGACAGGGCGTGGAAGGGGTTCCCATAACCATGCTCAGCCGATCCACAAACCTTTGGCGGAGTTGTTATGTGTTTAAAAGCCTGTAGAGGTTGCACCATTCGCACCGGGACCCACACTTCGCACGCAGGCAGCTTACTGCAGCCAGCTGTATGTAATGAACATTTGAACAGTTCGTCCAAATAATCCTTCCAAGCAACTTTTGTCGTCAGAATCTCGTCGAACCCCCTCATTTTACTACTTTTTCAAGGCCTCCTCTGAAGACCCGATTTCCGCGCTTTTTCAGCCACTTTTGCATCGTTCTGAACTAACGTTGACATTACTCGTCTAAAACTAGATAACACGAAATTATCGTGAACCGTGCCTTCAAGCTAGTCGTGTAAGGACCTTCTCCTCTCACCATACGTAGACGTTCTCGAGGAAACGGACTCTTAATGGCTCCAGTGTTGTTCGTGGAACGCATTGTCTCAGGTTGGCAATCATGCGTCCATATGGCTAATTGTTCTTATCCAGTAGTTATGTAACTCATAATGGAAGAAGACAATTGGAACTTTTGGAACTGAACGACTATTACTGGTAATCGTTCAATTTCGTGGCCAAAAATCAAGAAATTCTAGCCCATATTTTGCTAGAAAGATCAAAGATCCGTCTACTGGGCGACAAATAATTGTTTCAGCGTCTGAATGCGTCTCGATTAGTCTTTTGTTCCTACGAGTGGCTACTCTCAAGTGGTTCAATACTTTTGAAGTAGCCTGAATCTAATGACTACACAAGTTGTCAAAGGACCAGTGGGTCGGCGTTCGTTCGGTCGGATGGTTTGGATAACTGGGATTTTTGGCCATTCGGGACGTAATAAGGGCTCCAGAATCGGTTTGCCCGACGTACACACCCAAAAGTGGCCGTGTTATGTCGGCCACGCTATTAATAAGACTGCGCTATTCACAGTGAAACGTTAGAACGCCATTGAATATTACGCTCATGTGGAAGACGCTCAGGCACGTACGGACGGAAATTTCCTACGACCTCCTTACTTATTGCTTTTTTGGAGTCTCATATGTACTTTCTATGACCAGGGGATTTCTCGCTTTCTTCGCTGCCTTTACCTTGCTCTGCTCCGTAACTTACCTTGATTCCCTCAAACAGGATACCTAGGATTATCGTGAATTAAGTCTTTTACTAAAGGCTATCTAGTTGGTATAAGTGCCCTAACCATGTAGTAACTCCTCCCTATTTCACTTCTATGTTAGTTTTTTTATGCTGGCAATACCGACACGGTCCGATATTTTTGAGCGGTGCAACAGAATACCCTACTTGAATGAATTTCAATTCGAGTTGCACCTTTGGTTGAAGTTGTAATTACAATCCTGGAACTAATGGACGTCCCTTGGTTCAGAAGAAAGGATTGACGGAATGCCCGCTTTCAGGGCAAAACTTTTCGCTGGCCGCTCTTGATGCCTCCGAGCCTCAAGAATAGGAACGATTTCCCTCTTGTATGTTTTCTTATGTCCTCTGCAGGATGGAGGAAGAGTTCATCACGAAGTTGAAGTTCTTTTTATCCTGTAGTCGCAAGAATCCGATTTGGTTGTCGTGGTTAACTATTCAACAAGCAGTGCAATTAGGCATCATCAGTGCACGCGAGAAGGGTAATCGCTCCCCGATTGCCCATTACTTAGCGGGGGAAACTTATGTGTTTATTTATTTATTCACCTGAAAAGAGCTCTGTAGATAAACACAAACAGATGGGGTAAACAACACAAGGTTCTAACTATAGATGAAAATAGATTTATTTGTCTACTTCGAGAAAAATGCTTTCTAAATGCCGAATTGAGCCCTAGAGGCTTGAGAGTGTCAGCACCTCAGGTTTCTCTGCTATCAGGTCTTCTTACAAGCAACCTTAAAGAATCGTAGCGATACCAAACATAGAAAATGGAACCAAATAAAATCTTTCCATCGTGACCAGTTGTCTGCCCTCGAACAGAACGGCAGAGGAAAGTTGACCAAACTTCTAGGAATTTGTGAGGTCCGGTGTTGGAGGGAGGTTTTCAGCTCTGAGCTACTCTCGCCCATTGCCGTATGGAAATTATTTTGAAGAATACCTTATAGTTTAATGAACGGATAAATAGGCTTCAAATGTGAATCAAAGCCCTTTGTAGGGTGTACCCTCAAATGCTACTTCCATCCATCTATTCGGGACTGTAGTGACGTTATGATATGTATGTAATGCGTATTGCGCATGCTTTCGGTTGTTAGCCGAAGTCCAAATCAGTGCTTTCACCTCTCGATCGAGTAGTATACCATTTAACCGACCCAGGTAGGATCATAAATTTGCTCGGTTCAGGCGGGTACAAATCTGCGATTCATTCCCTAGACCATGCATATGATACTCCTCATTTATCTCCTCCATCCTAACTTTTGGAGTTATTTGAGGATAAGTCAAATTTTCCAAAACGAAGATTTACTCAAGATTTCATGTGCTGCCTGATATCGCAAAGAGGTACCATAGAGAAAACGAACTTACCGGGAATCCAGCTTCTACAGTACTGTGCCCCGTAGTGTGTAGACCGCTTGAGCGAGAGTTCTGCGTAAATTGAGCGTCTGATTTGAGGTGAAATAAGAATAGTAATGAGCAAATTATCTGAAATCGATTGAATGTAAAAAGACCGATGAACGACGCACTAGTGTGACTAGCTTAGCTACCTTAGAGAATTGCAACTTTCATCAACCTAGAGATACAAAATCGAGCCATTTCTATAAGCTCGTAGCAATTGCTGTGATTTCAGGGTCACTCGCCTACTGGTGGCTCTCGTATGGGTGTTTTCCGGGCTGTTGGCTTTATGTCTATTTGTTTTGGAGACGTTAGCCAACACCGAGAAGCAGGAATGCACTCCAATGAAGCTACCCAGCCTCTACATAATTTTCTCAGCATCAGCTTCATTCATCGTTCCAGCTGCTATCATGGTTAGTTAACTTTTGACGACTTTCAAGAAGTCTGCCCGCCAGGAGCAACTTATAAGCCTTGGAGGCCCCCTTCAATATCCTATAACCAAAATATTAGAAACATTAGATTATTGTACTGGTCTGAGTGATAGATAGGGCTACCAAGGAATCCAAAACCGAGCGGCAGACGTACACACCTAAAAATGGCCATACAACGCTGGCCCTCTTAAGGGCTCCAAAGAGTAGTAGCTCATGCCGTGAACTGATGAAGCGGTGCTTCCCTTAGGTGACCCCCGACAACTAGCACTTTTACTGCCTGAACTGTCGAACTCGAGCCTTCACCTGCACCTTTTAATGCTACCCNTAACCGTCAGTAATTACTAGCGATGGCATTGGTATAGATAGAGGGAAAGTGCATCTAAAATTGTCTTCTCCGCAGGGGTAATTTTAAGCATGTGTTTGCTAGGGATAGTAAATAGACTTATGAGCCAATAGTTTCTAAGAAGTCATAAGAGGTTCATCCTGCTGACTCGGAAAGAAAAAAAAACAGTCCTCTCGCAAAGAATAGACCTTTCGCTTGGGCGAAGAAGAGAGAATAATTTCCAAAGATGGTCAGTCAGAGAAGCTCATGAAAAAACAGAAGAGGAAGGGGAAAATATTGGAAACATTAGATAGGTGCTACCAGACTCATTTCGGAGGATAAAAGCACTGACTTGTACATCGGCTGGCCGCCACAAGTCATCGTATAGGTCATGTACGCATTCGTAGTCCACCACGATTCTTAGTGGAAGTCGAATGCGAGGCCCATTCTAAGAACGGAAATGGTTGACGCCAGAAACTTATTATTTTACTATCAAGAAGGCGAATTTCGGTCACGACAACATCAATGACTTATTTTTAAGTCTTTTAATTGTAATATTTTTCATGACAAGTATTATTTCTCGCTATAAATTGAAGGTGACAGAGAAGCTCTCGCTCCATTCAAGTGAACACAGTAGAAAGGCAACTCGCAAGGCGTCACCGATTACAGAAACACCTTCCGAAAAAGGTTAGTTGAGTACAGCTCCATATTAGCTCTAAAACTTTTCAACATGAATATTAGTATTTTCGAAGCAAAAAACCTTTTATTGCTAATTACTTACTCGCTTGTTTTCTGGGATTTATTTTATTCCTTTCCGGGGGAAGGCAAGGCAAAGGCATCTGGATTGTTTGGGTATGTGGACGAACGTGCTTCCGAGGATGCGCGCGGCACATTGCGCGGCCGAGTGCGTGGCAATTTGAACCACCTTAGCGCCTATCATTGGGGCACAAATTTGAAGTAGGATAGTCTGGTAGGATCGGCTAACCCCACTAAACTACTGTACTTCAAGTTTGTGTCCCGATATTAGGCGACAGAGTTGTTCACATCCTCACGAATTTCGCCGCGCGATTTGCCGCGTGCATCTTCAGACGCACATATGTACCCATACCCCTCTATCATCGGTATGGGTATCACCCAGAACTGGATGAATGCCGCGGCGAAATTCATGGTGATTAAAACGGCTCTGGCACCTATCTTTGGGGCATGGGTGCCAAGTAGATTGGATAAGTAGGGCCAGCTGATGCTAATTATCTATCCCACTTCGAATTTGTGTCCCAATGATAGGCGCCAGAGTCGTTTTAATCCCCACGAATTCTGCCGCGCGGTTTGCCGCGTCCATCCATCCGTCCCTCGGTATCTGCTGTACGACGTCTCCTAACAGCTTTCGCATAAATGACGAGTCGAAAAAAGGCTTTGGGTAAGGGCAGGAGGTGGTCCATGTGCATCATACCGTAAGTACACATAAGTAACTCTATATGTATAGGCCACTATTTCTTGATATACCTCAGCTGCCTCATTCTATTCGTATACGACGGCCTCCCTTACTTCGATTGAAATACATATGTGCATGCTGTACAACTCAAAAGAAAAGAATGAGTTGTCGAGCCACTGAGGCCTCCGACTTTTCTCTGTCCACCAACTTTCTTTTTCTTTCCCTGCTTGTGTTTACGCTAAAGTGAGCAGACCTGATTCAATTGTACTTGCTTCCGTTCTTCAGATACAAATGCGCTGACCGTCAATGGAACCGTTGAAGAACCACCAATAGCTAGCCCAATTCTAAAGAACCTTCTATCGCACACTATGGTCGTCTCAGTGATTAGTACAAGCAAGAAGAAGCGAACTAACGTCATCACACATCTTGGAGGGTAAGCTTTGAGAACTTCAGAAGAGTTATGTTTTAAGGATGTAAAGACCAGTATGTATAGGACAGTACTGCGAGCCAAGCCTGCCTGAAGCGGCTTCGATCCTCAATTGTAAGAAAGTTTGATTCCTTCAGAACTTTGATAAGGATAAATAACAGAAGGCCAGAGAAGTCCCTCTCCCCCCTTCCCACCCCCTCCCCCCGGAATCAGGGTGGCTGCCATGACCGGAAAGAGCCGAAAAACGTGATGGATTCTTGTCGACATCAGTTTACACTGAGGACCCATTATTTTCCGACTTCTTACCCACTGAAGCTTAGCCTCCTGTACTACATACCTCCATTTTCCTTTATCTGCGCCAGAACAGTTCCTATTGAATTTCATAAAACTAACTCGTGCAGAATCTCCCTAAACAAAATAGTTTAGTGATCGTTCACGCGCTCGATTCATGCTCCGGACCGAACTACGAGTGGCCCGTACCACGGCTGTGGTCGTTGGGGTGTTCGTGATTTGCTGGTTCCCTTTCAGCACCATTTACGTGCTTCAGGTTCGTAAGAGACCTGACATTCATTCTTATTCCAGATTTACCTAACTGCATGATTTCAGGCATATTCACTTTGTTTGATGCCCGATTGCATCACAAACACAATGTATGTCATCGCTTTCTGGCTCGGTTATGCCAATTCAGCAGTTAATCCACTGATCTACGCAGCTTTTTCGAGAGATTTTCGGGCTGCCTTCCACAAACTGGTCGTCCGAAGAAAAAAAGGATCCTTCCAAAAATCAATCTATAAAGGAAAGCCGTTTTGACAAAGGTTCACAGTGAGTAAAGCCCTCTGTCGAGTATAAATGAGCCCTCTGTTTTTGTTCAGATGGTATTTTCTATTGGTAAATTTCAGTTGTGAATTGCTGTGAAAATAGGCATTAAGTGGGGTACAACTGAATAGCAGTTGAGCTAACTCTCGAACTTCCAGAGCGATGTTGTAGTAGTTTTTGTGCTACCGCCATTGCTGAACCGATGGAGGTAGCACAAATACTTCTGTATAGATATCGATTTTGCGCGCGTTCGATCAATATCTCAGCTTAACGTACAAGCGTGTTTTGAACTGGGATACCTTCCTGCTATCACAATTCTATTTTTTTTTTTNTTTTTTTTGGAGTATTTAAGTCAGAGGGGAAACTTAGTACGGTAACCCCCTATTCCTCCACTGATTTTTGAGTGGAATAAAATGTAATAGACGCAAAATTTTACGGGTAATATATCCACGGCATGAGTCTAGTTGAATACGCACATCTCCATTCCATCTCCGTCTTACGTTAGACGTATAGAAACGAGATTTTGGCCGAGGACATGTCATGAATGAGTGGTTGGAATTCTATGCCTAACAACCAGACGTTCAAGTTATAGATTCGAATTGACCGCAAATTTACCAGTCAGATTCTTGAGGGCACGGCGCCCTTTATGCTTGATGCAAAAGTAATCCAAGATTTTCTCACTTACCCATCGTATGGCTAATAGTAATTCACGATTGCTGGAACTGCATTCTCCCGTGGACATTATCTTAATCGTTCCCGATGTTCAAGCTGTTCCATTTAACTGTTATACTCACGTTTTCATTAATGATTTTCACCGAAACATACCCAGACTTCACTAGTATTTGTACAAAGGTGCAATGCAGTACGCATTTTACTAGTCGGACTTAAGTATGACCCAATTCTTCTGTGTTCTCTGCTAATCTCTTCATACGTATTGTGCCAATAATGTCGTTTTATGTTCGAAAAATTGTCCTTGTATCCATCGATCGGGTTTGCATTCTATTAAATTTCATTGCCATAAGAATGATCTCACATTTCTGACAATTTCTGTTACATATGCGTTAAGTCAGTGGTGAAATATCAACTGTTTCCAATGAACAAAATTACCGGTACTTTTATGTTCCGTGTTGATAAATAAAGATTATGTCGAAGTGGATATGTGAGTGGATTTCTACGTGCAAAGTTTCATGCTTACATTACAATCAAGGTACATTGCGTCTGAAAAAAAAAATCATATCACGTGTATCACCTGTCGTCCCGTTGATCATCGACTTCCTCGAGCGGGCGCCAGTAACGTCTCCATTCGTCCCTGTCACGAGCCAGAGGGGTCCAGTGAATCGTTCTCGCTTCAGGGACACGAGGTTCAACATTCCTTTCGTTCAGAGCTTTCGTGAAGACGTCTGACCATCTCGTTGGCGGCCTTCCTGGAATTCGTTTGATGTCCCGAGGGATCCAGTCAGTAACCGCCCTGGTCCAACGGTCGTCACTATATCGCATAACGTGTCCGGCCCACGTGGTCTTCGATTTCTTGGCATAATCAGCGGCATCCCTGATCTTCGTTCGTTGACGGCGGTCGGAACTCCGGATCCCTTCTGCACTTGCGTGTATAGGGGAATTCCGAGCATCGTCCTTTCCAAAGCGCATTGAGTAAGCTGACAGCATGCTCATCCTGCTTTCATAGAGTCCAAGTCTCCGACCAAAAGTCACCGGTGCTTGCCCAGAGACGCGGGTGGATTCACGGGTTGGACTCCTTGATTCTGCTGTGCTGGGTCGATATACCCTCTGTTTCTTGCAGGCGATCCACGCATACGTGTGTGGAGAGTCTGTGGGTGCAGTTGGTATCCTGCCTATTGATTCGGCCAAAAACTTGCATTCGAGTGACTGGGAAGTTATAGAAGTAGATGACGATAATTTTGAAAAAAAGCGTATAAGTTCTTCAATGGGTCTCCTAAAAAAGAAACGCATCGCTTAAAGACAGCTAACGATAATTTTGTGATATCTATTTCGAATGAAATAATGGAAGCCATGGTACAGAATGGTGCAGGGGTGGCGAGGAAAGCGAGGAAGTTGTTGGATTTCAAAAATTATAGGACCTCAAGAAGCAGTAAGAATAGGGCTTGTACGAGATGGCCATGTGAGTGTCTCTCATTCAAACTTACTATTTTTACCGTCATGTAGATAGTGCAGTAATAGTAAGGCTGGCATAACACGGCCACTTTTACTGTATGTATCGCTCAAACCGATTCTGGAGCCCTTATAACGCCCTGTCAAGGCCTTTATCCGCCCCACAACAGTGACCATCTACTATTCCTAGGGATTAAAGATTCATTCTAGCGTGAAATCTCAGATACCATTTGCTTCGTGAATTACGCCTGTAGCCTCCTAGTGACAACGGGGGCGAATCTGCAGCATTTCCAGTCAAAGTGATCATGGAGTTCGGAAATGGTGGGAACGTCTCTCTCTCTATCATAAAAATACCCCTGAGGAATTCGGGGTACAGTTAGATAAACTGAACTCAAACTAAAACAGGTGTGGATCACTGGAGCATGATGAGTACGCTTCCAGTTGGTCAGACCAATTCTACCTTCGTGAAAAACAACAGTTTTTGGAAACAAATGATCTGAATTTAGTTTTAGCCCCACTTCATCGATAACACTACCCTGCACGTGTGGTCATAGGTTCGATCCGGGATTGAAATCCGCCCAGGCCAACCAAGTCTTCCATCATTCTCCGGGATCGGTTGATCGGTACCAGACCTATCTGGAAAGGAAAAAGTAGTGATTCTACATCCGCTGGCCTATGGGCCTATACCAGACCTATCTGGAAAGGAAAAACTACTGACTCGTACATCCGCTGGCAACCGCAAGTCATTGCATAAGCCACATATGTACGCATTCATACGTTACTACGATTCCGAATGGGAGTCGAATGTGGGGCGCATCGCTTAGACGGGATTGATTAGCGCCAAAAGACATCTACAACACAGTAAACACTAAACAGTAAACATTAAACAAATCTTTACTTTGCAATTTAACTGCCTCAGTACAAGTATTATTCATGCAGTTGAAGTGTTGTATAGATGTTGCACAAGACAGAGTAAGCCATGCCATCGGCATTCTTCAACTATCGAGCAGTTTTGCAATTTTCAGGTGGTAGCAGAGCAGGGATAAAAGTCAGGAGTGCGTATAGATGCAGTACCACAACTGCTGTGAATATCAGCGTGCAGAATAACAGTAGGACAACCACTATCAGTAAGACATAGCCACTTGTGTTTGACCCCTGAAATCAAAATTTTAAAACTGAGATGTATCTGCAATTACGAAATAACGTACCGTTGAACTTCCAGATGGACTTCCTTTGCTACTCTGTCCCGCAATTTTCCGTCCGTCTTTCGACTTCGTCTTGGCATCTTTTTTACCTACACGACCTTGTAAATTTTGGTGCTGAATAGTTCTTGTGGGGAGACTGATTAATTTATTTTATCAACATTATATTATATATTCATTATTTAATTTACTTACATTATTTATTCGAGCACTGTACAGAAACGAATGAGTTCAGCTGTATAGGTGCTCTTAGTAACAAAAGGTGTACGTGTAGATTGGTGGAAGGTTGTGCTTAGGTCTAGTGAATTCTAGCAACTCTATACCGCAAGACAACTATCAAAGGATAGCCATAATGCTCACTCGAGTCAGCGCGAACTCACCGAAACGAAAATTCCGTACGGGCGCTCAGCCCTTACCGTAAACTGGTTGTGGATCCTGCGCTGGTGGTGTAGGGTGGGCTCCGTTCAGCGCATCCGTCGAAACTAGGTTACGCAGCATTCGTCGCACGCGGCGATTTTTGCGTAACGTCGCAGTATCAGTGGGCATACCATTGGCGCTTGGCCCACGGAAGTCAGCCTAGAGTGAAGAGCACTCGGACTAATGCAAATAATTCGCGCCACTGACACTAAGGGGCAGTGGGGTGTGTTGCGATTCGTGCGATTCTGAGTGCGCGCGGCGAATTGCGCGGCAAAATTCGGTGCGATTTGGACGACTGCAGCGTTTATCATTNGGGCCCAAATTCGAAGTAAACTAGCTTAGTAGGATTGTTCGAACCTACTAAAGTACTCTAATTCAAGTTTGTGCCCCAGTGATAGGCGTCGGAGTCGTTTGAATCATCGCGAATTCCGCCGCGCAATTTGCCGCGCGCGACCAGAATGTGTATGTCATTTGGCGCGATCCCTCATATGGCGCCGCCCACTCGACGGTTTGCGGGTTGAACAACTCGTCCAGCTCATCGGGAACCCATTGTCCATCCTAATGATAGAAGCCCGGTCGACGATAAGCAGAATACAAGCAGGTATACAATTTGACGTCTAATAATAGTAGCGGCTCATCGACCGGGCTTTTATCAGTTGGATGGGCAGTGGATTGCCCAACCACATGGACGAGTTCTCCAGCTCACAAACCGCGTCGAAAGGGCGGCGCGATGGGTGAGATCGCCCCAAACGACCGCCTCCCCGAAGGAGCACTGTAATGTCACCTCGAGACCGTAGTGGGCTGCGCCGCGCGCGAAGTGTGGGTGGGTGACGGACTTTCGACGGACGCGTGAAATGGATGTTCCCGGTGGCGTTGCACAGCCCGCTCCCCATTTCTTCCATCCGACACTTTGGGTTTATACTTTGGTCCCACTACTACACTCCGCTCTATCTACTCCAGTTTACCTGACAAGGATAAATGGCTTCAGTTGAAATCGGGTCATCATTCGCCCTGGGTGTACAGAACTCACCTTCTTTGCTTTTGTTCTGAGCTTTGTCCGCCCTAAAAGTAGTTTTCAGTGGACCCTTAAAAGTAATAAAAGCTAACTGAGCTGTGTGACTGGGATGGATTGAACTTTACGGATACATGTGCTTAGTGAAGGGATATGCTCAAAATTAACGGCTTCGTTTCTTGAAATGTAACTTACGACTTCTCTTTTCGCTGCTGTGGTTGCTGCGGCTGTTCTTGCGGCTTCTGCGGTGGGGCAGGTGGAGCAAAAAAATCATCCGGCTAGAATGAGGTTCATGATTCGTTGTAGATTAACTGGGACTAACATTATAACAAAGGCACAAACCTGAAACATCCCTGAACCACCCCTACGGGTAGAGCAATGAAATGGCTCTCTTCACAAACCGTGGCATTTATAATGTCTGATTAGCACTTATCAGGGACTGGTATACCAGAGTCCGTTCTTTATCTCTCTAATGATATATTCACAAGGGTTGTCGAACTTGGAATAGGGTGCTGAATCCTCGCTGCATCAGCTTAGCATCGCATCAGAAGCGGAGTGTCCTTGAGAAGAGCACATTGGGGGAAAGGAGAGAAGTGAGCGGCACAAATTGTCCCGATAGAAGTCACGCACTCATTAGAAAACTAGATAAATAGCGCTTTTTTCCCATTTATGAATGATAACCCGTACTCAGTGGTTGGGGCCCACCCATCCTTCTATTCTTGGAACGCTCCTCCGACCTTGGCTCAAAATTTCGGCNTGGTATTTAGGAAAATTCACGTGTGTAGGTCCAATGTAGGAGCACTGGCAGCATTCTCCTGTACAAGAACGTCAGTAAGTGATTATTCAAGAGGTCAGAATGATCGGTTGACCTGGTTCGAGATCTTATGCTCTAACCTTGGGGAGATAGAAGTTGCATTCATTCTATCGACTCGTATCGGCGAAGACTTGAGTTGTTGTTGTCACTTTGTGCAGCTCCTGCTTTCCGAATTATTCTTTGGATGCATTTTTTATGATAATTTCGGGACCGCCAATTTAGTTGAAAGGCGGAAGTGTTCGTGCGTCGGTGGCAGAAAGCGAGGAAAACCACCCACTTCGCGGAAAGTAGTAAGGCTTTCTAAAAGTTGTGAATATACGAGTTGTTTTATTTGTCATTACGACAAGATTTTTTTATTGGTTTGTAATGTCATAGCTACTGCGGCCTGAAGCAAATAGTTAGTTAACGGCTAATGGAGTCCTTACCTTCAACTTCTATCATCCTGTACCTGAATCATTTGAAGGGTTTTCAACCTAAACATCTAATTACGCAGGTCTAACAGGGGCTTATCTGCCCACATTGGCGAAGCGGTAGACGGCAGTAGTCTTGTCAATGTCGATGACTGCACAAGCTGTAGTATGCCCGAGATCCGTTTGAAATTCTTGGTAGCCCCCAATTTTCAGCGTCCAAATGGTAAAGGATGAAGTCATTCGAATTTCATCAATTCCGTTTCTGGGATGATAATTCGCATTCGACTTCAATGCACATCGTCATGACGTTTGAAGGCGTGAATGCACAATGGTTATGATGATCAGCCGATGTATAATTAGTGCTTTCAGCCTTTCAAAGGAGTCTGGTACCATTTAAATTTGTCCCGGGGATGGAAGGCTTGGTCGGCCTGGACGGGCGTCGACCCGATACTCGATCACTGGACTATGCTTGTAATGCTGTATGCCACATGCCACTTCAGTAACTTCCGATTCCCGGGTGGGTGTGGTAACTTCTCCCCGAAGTTCGCGTCGGGCTCGCCGCATCCTATCGCGCGCAGCCGCACGCCATGAAAGCAAAGGTTTGAATTCTTAGTAGAAGGATACGGTACTGCAGAGGAACCACAGCCGCTTGCTGTGAGAATTCGGGAAGAAGTACCGCCACCATTCCCGTGTTATTTCAGCGTTTCAACTCCTATCCTCACAAAGCCTTATGGAATTTCTTCACTAGGAAGTCTATGTACATAACTGAGCATAAAAAGCATAGAAAACACGAATATGAGTCTATGGTTTTATTGATGTTACTTGCAATTTATTAATACCCATAAATAAGAACAAACAATAAACGATCAACAACCGCATAGAAATGCTTATTAGGCTTGCTCCATGTCTTTTCTAAAGAGCAAACTGCACTGTTTTGTAATGTTGTCGTCGAGTTTGTATGTCACACCCGGGTAAGTCTTCGTGGCAGTGACTGTCATCTTCTTTCGAGGCTTTTTTGGTGCCTCACTTACAGAATTGAAGCTAAAATTCAAGTTAGAGCTCGGAAAGTCTGCATATCAGATGCCTTTTTTCTGTTGTAATGAAGGTAGTAGGAAGTTCTCTCTATTCGAATTTGGTTTCGCCCTATGAGCTCAGATTCCTTCAACACTGCATATCAGAGATGTTTGTGGGTATGCGGATATGGGAAGGAACGGAAATCGGACTTTAGACTAGAATTAGCGTCAACTCGCAAGTGTCACATCGACTAATCTTTGATAGATATCTCGCGGCATCTAACTTTTGGTATCGCGTTCACCAACCCAATGCCGTCCCGCTAGGAAACGATCGATAGGGCGGACGGGTGTGGCGTGCGCGACATGCCGCTCGAGTTTAACGTCCTTCACCCGGAAGGAACATCTTCTAGTTGATAAATGGATTGTTCATGGTGGAGTGTCCTCTCAAAATGGTGTTCTAAGGATCCAAAGTTCGATCCATCACTGTTTTGGGGGGTGGTTTATGAGCTCGAACAGTTGTTTTCCCAGTCGCCATGTATGGACTCCACAGAGGCCAAAACTCCCTTCCAATATGTCAGTACTCGAAGTCCTATACCTCTCCACACCGCTTCAACCCTTATCACCTTTCTTGTACCCGCTACCCCTTACTAAATACTTAATCAGCAGTAAACGGGTTTACCTCAGCTTTGCGGCCTCTCTTTGCATCGTTATGCAGAAACCAAATGGAATTTCGCTGAATCGAACGTCGGCCTCTGATCCTACCGTAGTGAGAACGGAAACGTCAGAATTGAGCTTATGTACGGGCTCGCCATGATGTAACAACGTTGCCCGTGAAATGAGACTCATTGAAATGCTGAAAGATTCATTTGAAAAAATTATTTCAGACAGTATACTCAACGACTTACTTGGTTCTGAGGTCTGCTTGAGTCTCTTGGCTAAGAATTGAAATTGATGCTGAAGTTAGCACTTTGATTGAAAGTGCACCACTCGCTGATACATCGACGGTAAGTCCAGAAAGCAGAGGTAATTCAGTGGTAGTATCTCGCAGCATTAGATTGCCCTAGATGAGGATGTTCTCCGTGTAACGCTTAGGTAAATTCGCCAACAAAATAAGGTTGAATTAAACCCTCCCTACTGTGCTCAAACAAATATCGCAACGTGGTCAATTTGGAAGGCAAACAAGGCTATCATTTCCTGAAGTTCCTCAGGTCAAAGGCTGCTAAAGGGAATCGGACTCAAGTCCTTGAATGAAAATAGGCCAGGAGGTATACAAATGAGCAAAATCTTCATGGCACCGGTTGCTGCGAGGAACAGAATCTCGGTTTTCTTTCGTGCTCCATTTTGGGGCTCCATTTTGGGGTTGACGGCTCATCATATGTCCCCTCCCTAGAGGCTTGCACCGCTAATAAACTTCCACCCGATGGAAGCAATCGTCTCACATCAGTAGGAAGTTGAAGTATACAGAAGGAAGCGCCGAACATCACTTGCATACTTGGCCAAATAAAAACTTGAAAAGAAAATCTCGGTACATCCCATATAGCCGTGATTGTAGGTAGTTACGTACTTCGTGTAGGATCAATGCCCTGTAAAATTCAACACTGAGATACAAACCTCTAGAGCCTTGACAGTTTGTCCATCAGCGTTCCACACTATACCCATGAGCTCGGTTGTACCCTAAAAATATTTTGGTCACGACCATTACGCCGATCTATTCATGTGAATTTAGGTCTTGGATTGAGATTTAATCCAAAAAAGGAAGAGCTACACGCCTACGTACAGGTACGGCCCCAGGCTGAACATTCTCCCCACAATAAATGGTTAACGTTCTCGTGGTAATAATCCTCGGATCCTTCAAATACATACCCCTCGAACCATTATAATCATAACTGACCAACTGTCTTCTCTCTGATGGAAGCAAGATTTTTGACATGGATTAGATCCGTTCCGGGATGGGGCTACCCATTTAATGCCCCTTCCTCTTGTTAAAAACGAGTCCATGAAGTTGAATGTTGAGTCTCTGGTTACGCCTTAAGGTTGCACCCTAACCTCCGAACACTTGCACCACGCTAGACCCATGTGCTTGGATTCGACGAAATATATCCACCCTATTCTTTTAAAATATGGAGCGCCAACGGCTCTGCTCCGTAAACTCTGCGAAAGGAGCCACTTCCATCACGATGAGGTGTCTCCGTCAACTACGTCGAGATCCTCTCTCCTCTATCCCATAAAAATATAGAAATAAATAAAATGTTGGTTAGCAGTCTGCCTAGGAAAACGATGGGCAATATCCATCAATACAAAATTCAGATATTTCTGAGAAATCGCTTTAACGAAGGGTTTTTCGTTCTTCAAACTATGAAGGCCCACCTTGAAAAGAGTTATTGGCGGAAGTGCATGACCCAGCAGCGATAGGCGCACTTTGGCTTCGGGTTCTGCGGGTGTAGCACCTTCGTTGACGAAAGAATCCAGTCCCGCAGTCATTGTTGATAACTGAAATTGTTTTAGGGAGAAAAGCCTAAAATGGTTCAAATGGAGCTTTTGTTAAGCAGGCTGATGCGTTAAAAATCTGTTTTTATTATAATATTATTTTTATAGTTGTGTATGGTTTTGTTTCATTCCCTTGACCGAGAAAAACCTTTGACCGAAGAAATAGCAACAGTCCAAATCATACCTTGAACAGGCTTTCGTCTACTTTACCGTGCTTCAGGCCGATATCGAATTCTGATCGCCGGAATACGCCGGAATCGAATTCTACCTCTGATGTTGAGTGCAACCTGTATCCATCGATATCTATAAAGAACTGAAGAAGCGAGAAACCCTGGGAACTTCAATATGTTCAAGTTATTACAGAGGTCATTACCACAGTAGAGAACGGTGCTCGAATCAACATAAAGTTCAAGCCTTCACTGTCTTAATGGCATCGATATCACGGAAGAACCAAGGTCGGTACTAGTCAGAAGTCGTTTTTCTCTCCAACAATTCACTACCGGGGAACAGGCCCAAGAAGAAATAAAGGTGCACTGTGTTAAGGCAATCGGGGAGAAATTTCTCCCCGGCAGCATACTGGAGCCAAGACTTTTCTGGTATCCCCTGTTGACTCACTAAAACTCAGAATAGGCAAGAAACTAGGAGGTTAGCAAGAATGAAAGGTATACTAAAGTTCCGGAATAGCCACAGGGTTGCGGTAGGGAATGGAAGGAGGTAGTCAAATGAACGGAAGAAGATAAGCAAGTCGCGGTTGAGGTGGTCTGAGAGGTTTGAGAGTTCCAAAAAGACGATGTGGAAAAGGGTAAGGAAAAGGGAGCAACTTGCATGGGTGACCAATGACTTGTTAGAGTAGGTCAAGTAAGCTAAGCGCTCTCTAAGAAGTAAGTAAGCTTGACTTCTACGAGTAAAAAAAACATATTTGCTTACCAGTAATCTCATGCCAATGTGCATGTGAGTCGGCTTTCAAAGCACGATGGGCATAATTTGGTCGGAACACTTTGAACTTCCGCATCTGACGCCACACTTCGTCCTTCTGGAAAAATGACCGAGTCTGGCGAGCTTTCTTGAAACCGTTGCCCTTCCCAAAGTTTCAGAGAAAGTGTGATGCCCAGGATTGTGTGGGCACAAGGCAGGCAAAGAAGTGAAAGCAAAGTAAAAAAGTATTCGATTATAGCTGAAACAAACAGTACCGTATATCAGGTTTTATTTGGAAATTTAGCTAAAGACAAACCAGCTCGTCTCTATGGCCGCTACTTTCAACAGCTTTGTAGAAGTACTGCCATTTCTCATGATCATCCGGATTAAGGGTTTCTGTTCGCAGAAGCATAGTAGCGACATGCTGCTGCTCAGGAAGACACCTTGAAATACAGAACGATCTTCTTCTTAAATGGGAAAAACCTCGGGTCACCCAAACATACTGGAGCTTACCTGACGAGGATATCAACAGCCAATTGCGACTCGCCGGTGCTCGTTGGTTGTGGACAAACGTTGCGGAACAGCTTGATGAGTACGTTAGCTAACTGGAAGATGAATGATTTTATAGGATTCTTGGTTCATGCTGGTCAGCTGATCGGATGTCTACGACTGTCTAGACAAACGATTCCGGTATTTACAGTCACGTTCTACCACGGCTATCAGGTTATCAACAGTACTTAATTTGGAAACCTGTGATCGTGGGATACAACCAGGGTATTTCACCTAGGTTGTAAATCCCCAAAGTCAACTTAGAAAGTAAAAAAGCAAGTTTAGTTCCATTACTTTCTCTCCCTGATTGGTATAAAAGACATCTATTCAAAAGGGAACTGAGCGAGCAAAAGGAAGGTTAGATGGGAAAATTGGGAGGGATCATATGGGAACTTTGGGATTTTATCTTCACTAACTCCTCCGGGGCTTGCCCAAGATTCTTTTCTCAAGATGCAACAAGCCCCTACCTTGCTATCGTACAGCGTTGGACTGGCCGCCTTGATCAGTTGTAAGGCAGCCATCTGCACAGGTGCACTATGAGTGGGAGTGCATAGGAATCCTCGAGCAATTTCGAACGATCTGCAATCCACATTTTCAGAAGTATAAATCACTGTACACCCAAACTGTAACCCGACATGGGCGACTCTCATAACCCCAGGTAAACTTACGCCGATATCGGGATGTTCTGAAGTACCTCCAGCGATTTGAGATTGCATTCTTCCGTTTTACATGCAGTGATATTGCTTATGAACTTTGTCACTATCTGAATGGCCCGTATGAGTTGGACTTGCATCGAATTTGGAAGAAAACAGAAGCTCTACCCTTTCTTTGCCAAGGTGGCATGAATTGCGAGTGCTCGGCGTCCTGTCGCAACGCTTCCGAAGTACCGTAGCCAAGGTGTTGGCTACCTTCCAGTACGTCTCGTCCTCCTCTTTCACACTTTTCAACCAGTACTGAAACCAGATAGCTAAGTTTTTGACTTCAAATGGGCGCTGTTACTCTTACCATAAGTTGTTTGTGCCATTTCTCGTCGTTGCTTGTGGTATGAGCCGCACCAAACAGGTAGTCGTCCAAGAAATCTGGCCCTTCTACCAATAATACTTCACGAGCGATTTTAAGCGATTGTGAATTTCCAAGGGCTCCAAGAACATTCCCAAGCACATGCCTGAATCAAACACTTTCAGTCGGGGCAATCTGAAACGTGCCTAGGGCGCCAAATCACTTTTCCTTTTTTCGTTCACAGGAAGGCATTGTCATCATCTATTTTTCTAATCACAAGTACTATCAAACGGAAAACGAATTCGGAGGTTGAACATATCATCTTTGCCACTTGAATACCTACAGCACGGGCTCGTTCTCCGGGTGCATAAGCACTGCTTTCCAGTCTTGCTCACTTGCCAGTCTCCCTTCCTGGACGATCTCAGCGAACATCTTCGAGTGCTCTTCGCAGGTATGAGAGTCGCCCATATCATATAAGTGGCTGCGATACTTGGCAACCAAGTCTGCCAGCTGAAAAGAGCCACTACCAGTGGGATGATCTTACTCGTTTCTCTATATCCTGCAGTCAGCAGAAGCAGTCAATAATAAAATTTGAAGTTCAAAAAGTCGAAAGCCTGTTAGCAAGCCCTTGAGCTCGCAGCAGTATTGCAATAGACTTCGAAGGAAAGCTATTGGCCCGGAACTTCCTAGAGCCTAATCTTTTGCGGGATTTTTTTATTTAGCCAGAGCTAATGGCCTCCTGAATCATGCCTTACACCGGCAGAAATCTGAACAAGTTCAAAATTGACCTCATTCTTTTTCTCTTTCCGTCCTAGTACCACACGCTCATAGAGCTTCCTTCCAACTGATACAGCCCCGAATTTCTCGCTTGCACATACTGCAGCTGTTTGTGTCTGTGAATTACAGTGTCGAGCAACATAGTTCATAGTTCGATTCGTAATTTCAACATGGGTCCTGAAACGGATGAAACATCCCAAAAGTTGCTGATTTAATCCGAAGCTGGAAAAATCTGATGCTTCAAAGTTCATACCTGCTTTCAAGCGTGAATCCCCATTTATTATGCAATGGTGCACCAAATCTGAGCAATTCAATTGCATCGATGACCACTATATCGGCATCGATTTTTGTGTTCTGCCTTAATATTTATAAAGTCGGTTTTTTGTCATCTCTACAATCGATATGATCAGATAGTAAATAGCTTCAATTGATTTTGAAGCAACAGTTCACGGTCTGGTTTCAGATGAGTAATGAACGTGATAGTCCAGAATAAAACAAAGGTGTCTAAGAAAATGAGGAAATTGACGTATTCAGAGAAATACAAAGCAAAAAAAANNNAAAAAAAATAAAATCAGAAGTTGGACGAGAATGTAACGACGGAATTTACATGGAAGGGTTTGGACGAGCTGTTCAAGAGTGCGCGCGTGGGATCGGTCCATTTTCTACAACCTTTACAAAGCCTAAGAATCAATCCAATTTGACTTTTCAATTGTTTTTTCTATTAAGTTTGATTTTTTCAAAGACAGTTTGAAACTACTACAAAAATGGCTTCGATTGATCGTTCTGAATGATTGATCCGTGGCAAACCAACTTTCCGCACTGAATTCTGCGGAAATGCTGCAATGAACTTCAGGTTCTTGGGCACTCGGTGCTAGCCTTCGATTGAAATAGCGTAACCGAAGGAGATAGGTATATGTATGTACTCCTGGATTCCCCACTCAAACTGCTTCCCCTTAACCATTTTTTCTCCTAAATCGAGCCGAAAATGGTTAAGAAACTGCAAGTCTGAATTACTGATGCTTGGATCCCTATCGAAGAAAACACAAAACAGCAGCAGTGATGAAGCTTTACCTTATTTTCTGCTTCCTATGGAAATTTTAGCTACATTGTTTAAAATCATAGAGTGTTTCCTTACAATATGTGGTCTTGAGCAGTGAACTGATTGACATTCAGAGGACCTACTGGTAAAACCAGAAAAAAAAACCAGAAAATCACAAAAGAAAAGAAGTGCTTTTGGAATACAAAACAGATAGCTAAAAATTGAAAACTAGTCAAAAGCTTATATAAGTAAAATGCCGTTCCAAACACTCACAAATACGAGACGTCCTGTTCATAGTGTACCGGTTGGATTCCATCTATGCGGGTAAAGTTCCTAAAATAGATTAGTGCATATCCTATCCTTATCCTTTATAACTTTTCTTGATTTTCATGTAATTGTTGCTGTTATGGATTCCGTAAAAACAGTTCTTCGTTAATATTCCTTGTTTTCGATGGTCAGTTGATACTCAGTTGCACGTATGCGGAAATTATGTACTTCGCTGGCCTTGTTTATTCGAGGTCAGGATATTCTACAGAAAAAAAGCTTTTACTGAACATTTCCAGTGCTCATTATCAAAATGGGCGCTGAAATCATTCATTCCCTACCATGGCGATTACGTTGACGCTGCCATCTATACTCTGTGTATTTTCATTGTCGTCCACACGATGCCATTTTTGGGGCTTAAGATTTTGCAGAGGGCCAATTATTCAAAATCCTGTTGAATGAAGGTTTGGCTAGAACTTTGGGTGGGCTTCAGATACTAATTTTCTTCACTAACGTTTTTAACTTGGAACATGTTAAGTAAGTCCCCTCTTTTATAGGCAATGCTCTGTCGGTCTGAAAAAACATCTCCGTTCGTAGGGCTTCTCATTTTTGGTCCTGACAGACCCCTTCAAGTGGGAGTTGTTTAATCCGTCTACTTTAAAGAATCACGGGAACATGGGAGTAGAATAGTGAAAAACTCCCAAAGGTAATCGATTTTCTGCCTATCGATTTAACCCACACCTCCCAGCCATCTGCAGATTTCCTCTCTTTCTTCAACTTCGTCTAGGAATTAAATTCTCTATGCATTCATAATATTTACTATTTTTCTAATTTGGTTATGATTTGAAGGAAAACCTGAAGGAACACAAGTGTCACAAGGTCGGCAATCTACTTGCAAAAATTCGGTTTGGAACGGGACTCGAACCTGTAGTTGTGTCCAAGAAGCAGTCAACAGCAACATTCAGTCAAAATTTCTACGCAAGTTGTAAGCAATCGGTTTACTGGTTACCCATCTTTGACATAGTAAAAAAAAGGTAAGAGAAATTCGAACGTACACATCTCCTTTGACCTTGCAGTTGTTGATTTTTCTCCGAAATCGTTTGTCTTCTGGCCTTCCAAACTGCACTTGACATTTACCGTATACGGTATCCTTAACAAAGAAGCACAGTACACTTCTATGTTCCTTGATTATAAAATACAGTGAAAGGGCATTTGGGAAAAATCATCAGTAAGATTACGTCATGCTTTGGGAATACATGGGAAAGGTTCCCACCACATACTTGCGTGTGCGTAAACAATTCCTTTAAGGGGCTCATTTTCAGAAGCGTGAACTTCGACTCACCACGTTCTGGTCATCACCTTCCCCATTTTCGGCTGGTGTATAGATGGTGTTGATAATAGCGTAAATGAAATTCCACCTGGGCTTTTCATTAGGGAATTGCCTAAAAAATAGCTGTGTTTGTACTTTATTAATTTTTAGGCAGCTGAGATCGACTGTCACTGAAAGCACGTTTGATTCCTTTCTCAGATCCCCTCTCACCAAAAAATTACTAACTTGGCGTCGTAAAGAACTTCTTGAATGTTGTTTCCACCTTGCACGAAGGACACATAGACGTCCGGCACATTTCCACAATTACCGGTCTTACAAACTGTTAACTGAAAGAAGAGCGGTCAAAATGGAGGAACGTAAAGACTATTTTTTCAATTTTTTGAAAACCAAAATAATTTTTTGAATTTTGAATTATCAGTCCCAGAGTTTTGGGTTTGGAGGGTACCCGAGCCAAAAATTAACTCGTTGCAAGCAGGCGCTACAAGGGAACTACTCATTTCTTTCAGTTCTACAAAATTTTCCCTAAACCTGTTAACTAGCCTTGCCCATGTGGCCCATGAGTTCTTTGAAGAGGAATCCTTCAAGTCATCTGAAAAGAGAGGCTAGGGCCTCCCATACCGAGAGTACAGAAGCTTGGGCGGAATCAGATTTCCGAATATATATGTATGTATTATGTTGTTTACGCGATTTGCCTCAATTCTACCACCGACTCATCAATTATGTATACCTGAGAGTTCCATGTATGTTAATTTTGCCTTCCTTTTTTTTGTTGGATAGTTTTCACGTAGGAAGAATCTGTAGAATGGGTCGTAGAAATGTTATGATCACGAGCAGACCTTTTAAACCCCTTTATACCTCTTGGAGTTAACTTAATTGTCATGGAATTCTCTTTTTATGGTACTATTTTATCAAATTATGCATAACATACACAAAAATAGCAGCAACACATGTTCACGAAATTCCCCCAAGATTAAAACTTACTCTGTATCTTCCCAACATTCCACCTTCGATATCATGATGAAGTGATTCGAATGTGAAATTACCAGCCACGTACGTCGATGGTGTTTTGACTTTGTTATCCACCACATCATACAGAACTGACTCTGACTCAAAGCTGTAGTCGACTTTGATCAGCCTGAAAGCACAAAGGGGAATGAGCTTTTTCGAAGATTGTCAGAAAGCTTATAGACTCGATTTTCTCGTCATATTGCCTTACAAGGGCGGGGAGGGAATGCCAGAGGGCACTAAAACCTTCGCACTTCACGGGACCGAATCCGGGGCCAATACAGGCACCAGATTCTGTACAGTTTGTACATACAGGATAAGAGGAAGTTCATCGCCTGCCATCTCTTACACAAGCGTTTGAACAAGCCAGTTGAACGTTTTGAAGGCCATTGGAATTCTGAGAGGAGGTTGGATGCAGTTAGGACATCGAGTAGTACTGATCCTCCTCAGAAGTTTTTGCTTCCTTGGGTTTTCGTCTTTCAACAAGAAAAAAGTTGATAAAGTGCGAATGTTGCATAAATGTGAGAGGCATAATAATGATGAAAAATTTCCTAAACCCTTAATCGAACCCAAGGAATGACTCACCTAGCCATCTCCTCATTGGCTACTGGAGCCGTTTTGTGGATGTCTTTTTTCGCATTAGGAGAATCCGCTCCTAGACCCGTCAGAAGTACTGAAAGCAGTGCTAAGGTGATTTGATAATTTTGAGTCACGGAAATTTTCATGAAGGACAAATGCATGGCCCACTGTATGGCTGGCGTTTAGAACTGACCTTCTTTCTTTTTTTTTTTAAATGTGTAAAATATGGTTGGGGAAAGGGACGATCAGGGAGGGTGAAGGGGCAAGTGGACATCATCTCACAGACATGGTTCAGGCTCAGGCGCTCAGGAGTCGAGATCGCAGTTGCCCGGGCCAAAGCCAATCACTCTGTTGTCAGTCAATCAGTGCTAGACTCTAGGGCAATATATTGTAAATGCCGAATTCAACAACGGCTGGACAACGCAATTCATTGGATAGGCTACATATTCCTCCAAAAGCACTAAGATTCTGGAAGGAAGTCAAGTGCTTGGGCGCATCTTAAAAGGAGATTCATTAACGCCAGCGATTTTGTTTTATCTTTTCATTGGAATATAGCTAGCATGGAGAGACAGATTCCTCGGACTACTGGGAGGTTTATATTGATTATTATCGATCTCTAGCGGGAAAATAAAACGCCAAGATCCCCAATAATAGGGGTAAAAAAAGTGTCATTGTATTTATGTGGTGTAGATAAAACTTTATGGCAACATAATCAAGGAAGCAATTGTTATTGTGTTTTTTTGTACTGTTCCCAACATATGATTCGATAAATGCAGAACAAATAAGTAAATATAGCCTGTTTGAGCCTTAATTTCCTTTATTATCTTCGCACTCAAATAATTTCAATGTTAAATATCGCCCCAGAAGCGTTGATGTAACTTCATCGCATCCTACGAGTCCTTGAAGGGAAATTTCCTCCAAGCCTTGCAATAGTTTTGTAACATTGAAATTAATTTTATTTAAAAACCCCAATGTTTGACCTGTCTCATCTACCTGTGCCCATTTCAGAAAAGTTACTGGCAGAAAAAAAAGAAAATAACAGACAAAATTTGTCCACACTACCGATGTGCAACAGCTTTCAAAACTGTACCATTACAAAAAAATAATACTAACCTGAGAAAAAGCATAAATATATGAGGTGGCTGACTGCCGACATTCCGGTCCCGAGAGTGGAAAGTCGTTATCAGCACAAAGGCCACGTCTATTAGTGTCCTGACACTATGCAAATACCCCAAACTGCCAAGAAGGTTGACAAAGAAATCAAACCTATTCACTTCTTCTTATTTCAATATAACGCAAAATACTATTTTGCTTAAAGCATACTCAGCCGTGAGCGAACAATTGTGAAAAATTGAGGCTCTGATAAAGGAAGAGAAGTCCAATGATATCATGAAAATTCATTATTTTACAAAATCCATCCTAATTTATAGGCGGAAGCGGTGTAGTAGCAAAAGGCTCACTATCACACACGCATGGTCACGGGTTCGAATCCCTGATCGATGTCCACCTAGGCCAATAATTTTTTCCATCCCTCTGGGGCCGGTTAATCGGTAACAAACTCGTCTCGGGGGATAAAAGCACGGATTTGAACATCGGCTGGCTACAGCAAGTGTATAGGCCACACACATATTCAATGTTCCGCTACGATTCCCAATTGAAGTCGGATACGGGGCGTATCTAACAGACGGGACTGATCAATCAATGCTGATCAATGCAAAGTAAATTTTAAAAGACGTCTTATCTTGAAGATCTCCGTCGGTTCATTTCAAGGTTCATTTGACATGCTCTGTCGAGAGTATGGTAAAAGGAAGTTTGCATTGAATTCGAAGAAAGTTTCGTAGATTTCCTTAATTTTTTCTCCTCATGAGCATCCTTGTCTATGTGTAGTTCTATTGACCGATACGTATTATAATATCAAAATGCCACCCTCTGTGAGACGCACATAATCCTTCCTTTGGCTGTTCCCAAAAAAAGCCACCAGTCAAGAGCAATTAGCAAATAGTAGGTAGCTGAATGCTCAGTGACACAGTAGCTCTCAACGAAGTATGCGTTACGATCAAACTGAATTTTGAAAAAAATTCGAAAACGATTACAGGTGAGTTCTAAAGTTGGTCAGTTGGGCCAAGAGGTGATTTTAGATTTTCCAACACTGAAACCGTTTGTGACATTGAGGGAATAACCGCTTCGTGAACGTATACTTTAAATGACACTGAGTGTAACTTATCATTTACTGTTTGCGGACCCTTTTCAATGGATGAATTCAAAAAAACGATAAGTCAGTACTTGTACTGGGTAGAATATAGATTTTAACATTTTTTTCAGTTTTTGGTTTATGTCGTGCCGTTCGGACGACTTAAAGGCCGCCTCGCCTGGGCGCGCACGTAGTCCCGCCGGGAAGGCACCGTACGCCGCAGAGAGCTAGAGTTTGCCACGTGGCGGCGGACTCTAGCCGCTCTAGGCGTTGCATCCTTCATTCCACCATCGTGTCAACGTCTCGGACGGCTGCTTTCTCGACTGCTCTTGTGACTTCAACGTCAGCAACACCGACGAAGCCCCCGATGGGCTCTCAGCACCAGTCGTATGCCATCCTTAAAGTGGTGACAAGCTGCAAGGATCGAAGTCGAATGGAACAACTGGAAGACGGTCCACTGCCATCAAGGACACGGATGCAGCGTAGCCCAAAAGGAGGTGGGAAGGCTTGGATGGGACATGGATAAGCTTGAGATCGGATCGTACCCCCAGACCGTAGGTTATAGTGTGGTTTCATTAATGTGTATTTCTTTGCTTTCTTTTTCTATAGTAATTGCTCACAGTGTTTTCATAGTATTTCTCTCCATTTATTCGTATTGCAATCGATACCATATCGACGTAGTATTCATAAAATGTATAACGTACAAGTGCGCTGGAGTTGCGTAGGATGTCAGTAACATCGGATATATCGCAGTTACTCTTGGTGCACAGAGGGTAGCACGTAGGCCACGGTGGAACCCCCTTGCCCAGTGTCCGAGGGAGCTCGGCACTGGGCCAGCAACCCCGTAGCGTACTGCGGAGGCAGTACCATCCACGTAGGAGCTTGCAAGGGAGACTGGGGCAGCCCTAGGCCTACCAAGTCCGTGTGGCAGTAGAATACGAGC